TCTCTTCTCTGATCGTTCTCGGCTCTTCTAATCTTTCTCTTCTCTCTGCCTCTGCCCTGCTCTGCTTTTCATCTGTCCATATTGTCGGAAGTTTGACTTCTAAACTTCCTTCGATAAGGTTAGGTCTAGGTTTGGGTCTTAGGTTGCTGTTTTCCTGTCTAATCTGAATGTTTGAGGACTCAGTTCCTGGTGGATCTCTTAAAAGATCAAATTTTGTCTAGTGTGATTCCTATGGTGACTCCGACAAGGTGCCATAGGGCCAATGGCGGCAACCCCATTGTGGGTGAATTCTGACTGACTTGACGTCTGAATTGACACTTTTAACTTGGTAATTCGTGTAAGTAAAGTGCAACAGTTCAACAGTTGGCCTTTCGTTTACCAGCCATTTTTGCGATGTCCTGCTGCCTCTGCCGTCCTTGGGAACCTCAGTTTTTTGCCCCTACGGACGTGAAGCCGCTCTGAATTGTCAGAAAGCTTCATTTTACTCTCCGCAGCTCCAGCTTTTACAGGGAACCACGACAAGAATCATGACAGGTGGCAGGCATGCCCTCTTCCTGCAGGTTTGGTTTCTTTGGTTCCTGGTGAGGTAAAACATGTTGTGCACCTAATTCATTTGAACTTGAACAGCCGTTTGGCCCATGTGGCGTGACTTGAACTCGTCGTTCCGGGTTGGGATTAATGCACGACTCCATAGGTTGGGACTGAGTCCCCTTAATTTGTTGTTTCACTTCTTGTCGCCAACTAGTCTCCCATTCGGTCCCTAAATATTCCCCCGTGCCCCTCTGTAATGTGTCGTGGGGTTTTGGTGTGTGCCCTGTTTTGGTCAGGTCCGTTTCGCCGTGTAGGTTGGTTCTGGAGGTCCGTTCGTTCCCTTCCCCCCCCTGCGCTGTTTTGGCCTTTTGCCCGTCGTTTGTGTCCGCTTTTTTCGTCCTCTTGCCTTTCAGGGTTGACCCGGCTCCGGCCGGGTGTGTGTGTGTGTGTGTAACATCTAAATAGATGTAAAACTTCTCTCTTTTTCTTTCTTCTTTCCTCTCCCCTTCTAATTTAGATAAATAATAATAATAATGCAGGGGGTCACCGGGGTCCCTGGGGGGTCGGTGACCAACGAAGACACCCCCCCGGGACCCGTGTAAACGTACCTGCATAATCTACTTTAGGTCTAATAGTCTAAGCTGGTTTGCATGTTACAGGACTCAGTTCCTGACGGATCTATTCAAAGATCCATTCTTGTCTAGTGTAATACCTATGGTGGCTCCAACAAGGTGCCATAGGGCCACTGGAGGCAACCCTGTTTAGGGTGACTGTCGACTGCCCGGATCACTGAATTGACAGTTTTAATCTGGTAATTCATCTAAGTAAAGCGAAACAGTTAACCTTTCGGTTATGCACCTTTTTGCGAAGTCCCGCGGATCCGGCTGTCCTTTGAGATCCTCTGTGAAACGCACTTCTACGACTGTGAAGCCGTCTCGAACAGCCAAAACTGTTTCTTTTCCATTTGCGCAGCTTTTGAAGTGACATTTGAACCGCAACATGAAACATTGACCAGGCAGGTCCATCCTTGCAGGTGTGGTGACTCTTTCTTTTGATGGTTGTTTGGTGAGGTCAAACATATTGTGCACCTAATTCGTTGGAACTCGTACAGCTGTTTAATGCCTTCGGGCACGACTGGACCACGTTCCCGAAGGGGAGTAACGCACGACCTCTAGGATAAACGGGACTGAGTCCTTTTTTACATTAATTGTTTTGGTTTTTCACTTGTCACCAACTAGTCCCCCATTTGGTCCCTAATTACCCTTCCCTTGCGGCTTCTCCGTAATGTGTTGTGGGGTTTAGGTGTGTGCTCTGTTTCTTGTCAGGTCCGTCTCGCCGTGTAGGTTGGTTCCGGAGGTCCGTCTGTTCCCTTCCCCCCCATTGCGCTGTTTTGGATGTTGGCCCGTCGTCTGTGTCCGCTTTTTTCTTCCTCTTGCCTTTCAGGGTTGACCCGGCTCCGGCCGGGTGTGTGTGTGTGTGTAACATCTAAATAGATGTAAAACTCTTTTTCTTTCTTCTTTCCTCTCCCCTTCCAATAATAATAATAATGCGGGGGTCACGGGGTCCCGGGGGGTTCGGTGACCAACGAAGACACCCCCCCGGGACCCGTGTAAACGTACCTGCATAATCTACTTTAGGTCTAATAGTCCAAGCTGGTTTGCATGTTACAGGACTCAGTTCCTGACGGATCTATTCAAAGATCCATTCTTGTCTAGTGTAATACCTATGGTGGCTCCAACAAGGTGCCATAGGGCCACTGGAGGCAACCCTGTTTAGGGTGACTGTCGACTGACCGGATTACTGAATTGACAATTTTAATCTGGTAATTCATCTAAGCAAAGCGAAGCAGTTGCCCTTTCGGTTATATGCACCTTTTTGCGAAGTCCCGCGGATCCGGCTGTCATTTGAGATCCTCTGTGAAACGCACTTCTACGACTGCATGTGAAGCCGTCTCGAACAGCCATCTCGAACAGCCAAAACTGTTTCTTTTCCATTTGCGCAGCTTTTGAAGTGACATTTGAACCGTAACATGAAACATTGACCAGGCAGGTCCATCCTTGCAGGTGTGGTGACTCTTTCTTTTGATGGTTGTTTGGTGGGGTCAAACATATTGTGCACCTAATTCGTTGGAACTCGTACAGCTGTTTAATGCCTTCGGGCACGACTGGACCACGTTCCCGAAGGGGAGTAACGCACGACCTCTAGGATAAACGGGACTGAATCCTTTTTTACATTAATTGTTTTGGTTTTTCACTTGTCACCAACTAGTCCCCCATTTGGTCCCTAATTACCCTTCCCTCGCGGCTTCTCCGTAATGTGTTGTGGGGTTTAGGTGTGTGCTCTGTTTCTTGTCAGGTCCGTCTCGCCGTGTAGGTTGGTTCCGGAGGTCCGTCTGTTCCCTTCCCCCCCTGCGCTGTTTTGGATGTTGGCCCGTCGTCTGTGTCCGCTTTTTTCTTCCTCTTGCCTTTCAGGGTTGACCCGGCTCCGGCCGGGTGTGTGTGTGTGTAACATCTAAATAGATGTAAAACTTCTCTCGTTTTCTTTCTTCTTTCCTCTCCCCTTCTAATAATAATAGTAATAATGCAGGGGGTCACCGGGGTCCCGGGGTGGTCGGTGACAAACGAAGACACCCCCCCGGGACCCGTGTAAACGTTCCTGCATAATCTACTTTAGGTCTAATAGTCTAAGCTGGTTTGCATGTTACAGGACTCAGTTCCTGACGGATCTATTCAAAGATCCATTCTTGTCTAGTGTGTGTGTGTAACATCTGAATAGGTGAAAAACTTCTGTCATACTTCTTCTTTTTTATATATATCGCGGGGGGTCACCGGGGTCCCTGTGGGGGGTCGGTGACCAACGAAGACACCTCCCCGGGACCCGTGAAAACGTACCCGCAGGACTTCGGTGGTGCACCTGGGCGCATTTAAGTCGCAGCTGGTGGCCACCATAGTCCTATAATATATATATATATATATATATGTATAAGGTTATAGGTCTAGGTGTAGGTCTTAGGTTACTGTTTTCCTGTCTAATCTGCATGTTTGAGGACTCAGTTCCTGGTGGGTCCCTTAAAAGATCCAATTTTGTCTAGTGCGTGTGTGTGTACATGCATATACCTATATGTAGTAGCTATATTTAGCTGTATGTAGATATCTGCACATTTAACGGCCGTAGACATGTTCGTACACGTCAATGTGTGTATGCCTTTTTGACCACCAGCATCATGAACAGAAGGAAGAAACAAAGTACTTCACAAAAAAGATTCTGTCATTCGCAGAACCTACATTTTTTTGCCCCAAATCGAAAGGATGGATCTTTGGGGACCAGTCTGCCTCATGCAAATGGCATTGAAATGTGTCCCAAAAGGAACCTACTGGATCTGTCTGGTCTGTCCAGGTTCCTAGATTTGGCTCTTCCATAATCCTCAATCAATCACTTCGTGTAACATAGCCGACTCAAGAACACATGTGGGGCGAAAAGGCGCAGGTGCGATGCTTTTCACACATTTGGAATTTCCTGAGTGAAACGCATCATTAGCACAATGTGGTTGCGGAGCTGCCCCGTCATTCTAATAGGCGGCCTTTGGATTGGACCAACTCCTTCACCAACTCTGTCAACTTCCTTTGAGCGTGCGCGCGAAGGGTGAATGCTTTATGCTGTTGTTGTGCTGAAAGCACGCAATGTGCCCCGGAACAAACAATGAAAACAATGACACCAGAAAACAAGATTGCCGAAAACTGACAAGAGAAAAGAACGCACGCATGTTGGGGAACCAGCTAAATGTCTCTCAAAGCTGCTTCTGCTCTGATTGCAATTCTTCAAGTCGTGTCCTCACTTGTGGTGTTGGAAATTATTCTCAAGATGTTTGGTGCTTGCGAGGGGCCGTGGGAAAAAAAAACGTGCAGCAAAATGAAGAACTACTGGCCCAATCTAATGGTGTCTTCACTGCACGACTACTGAAAGGTCTTATATAGTGACTTTGTCAAAACTGGGAGGGCTCAAAAATTGAACATTTAACTGAAAAACTTGAAATGAAAGGTTCGAGTTTCCTCAGCTTGCCATGCGATGACCTTAGTTGCTCATTAAGCAGAACCCATTGACAAAAGCCAAAAGCAGCAAAACCTGCCAAGTCATGCAACTGCCTGGCTAGCTCTTGGTTTTGGCTGCATGACACATGCTGACCCTGCGCCAAAAAAACGCTCCAACCAAAGCCGAGGGTCTTCATCTCACTGCGGAGGCTCCTAAGTGCCTCCATGGGCGGCTCGGCCCGGACGACCAGCCAAATGTGGCAATCCTCCGGGCTCTTGTCGCCCTGCGCCCCACAGCAGCCAAAGGACACTGCCACCATGTAGAAAATGCCGCTGAGCTGCATTTGGAAGACAAGTCGGAAGAACATAAGGATCAAAGCAAGGCAGGCAGATAAAATGAAGAGCATAGGAGAGCACAGCAGCAGGAGGACAGATCCACAGCACCTACGCTTCGTGATGCCCGAAAGTAGCACTTTGCCCAGAAACTTGCTCTCTGAATACAGAAAGAGGGGCACCAAAGGCCCGAAGCACAAGAGAAGCAAAATGATAGCCACGCCGGATGGCTCTGACTTCTCATTCTCTGATTCCTCATTGCGCAAAAGCCTGCAAGAAAGCCACTGCAACATGTATGTCCATGGCCGAGCCTGCAGCTCCAACATCAGTTTAGCACGGGCTCTGAGGAAGAGCACCGCCGACTGGTCTTCATAAACTTCAAAGTTGTTGCTGAGAACGCCCACCAAGAGGTTCATCAGCAGAATGGTGATACCAACACCGGTGATGTAGAAGAGGGTGTGGGCCTCAACCTTCGATGCGTGATCCAATGACAGGAAGCTGGTCTAAGTTTTAGCACCAAAATGACATGAGTTGGGGTTTCAAAACGCAGAAAACTTGCTGGCTGAGCTGGCAGTTTACGTAGTTTGGTCCTGGGTCTGGGTCAACAGGTTCCCACTCCTCCCCGTTGCGCTTGTAGATGACGTCCAACCCTTCGAATTCGTAGAGATCGAAGTCACCAAAAATGCCCAAGCGAAAGACTTGCATGAAAGCGGCGTAGACCGGTGTTGGCTCCTCCCGCATTTGCAAGTTGTTGTAAGCATGGGCTGCTGCCAGAATGCATGTCCAAGTGACCAGGAAGAACGCCAATGTGTCTTTCAAAGCCGAAAGGATGGGGAGCAACCGCGGACCCATCCACGTCTCGCCCCGCAATGAATACAATGCCCGGAGCCAGGCCATGGCGCAGAAAATGGACATCCAAGGCTTCTCCAGCTTGGTGGGGTCAAGGGCTTGGCGCACGATGGCCGCCCACCCAGCCGTTATGTATGCGATGTCGGCGATGTTGTCGAATTCGAGTAGGTTGAACCTTTCTCGGTGACAGCGACACACTGCCAAATGTTGCATCAGCTCCTCAAAGGACTTCTTAGCATGGAACCATAGAATAATCCATAGCGATGGTGGCACCTTTGCTAGTTCCAGGACGCAGAACAATACGCCCTGTCCATGCAACAAACACTTGTGAGCTGGATCATACTTAATTGTTTTGAGAAACAGTGGTGAAAGAACGGTGAGACATAAAAACGCTGAATGCAAAAGGTTTGTTAATCAATGGCTGGGGTCTGCAAAATGTGGTTGCTCGTGGCGTAAGGTGAAGGAAGCGTGGCACAGTAAGGGCAGCATCAAAAGACTCACAAAAACCTCGCCGGCGGTTGCGAGCCTTGTTTGCATCCACGCAGCCTGCACCAACGCTGCAACTGTGTGGGTGTGAAAGACCTCGTCATTGGCTGTGTAGGCCAACGACTTCAGTAGCTCCGGGTTGCACGCATCACTTGCACATAGAGCAGGTATATATTTGAGGCTGGCTTGCACTGCTGGCCGTGTGAATAAATTCTGACCTTCCAGTGTGATGTAATCATCGTCGAAGCAAGAGCCTTCTCCTTTTGCCAGGATCACCCGAAGCTGTTCCCGAATGTGGGCACGCTGCATGGTAGAACCATTGTGAAACCGGGCTTCTTTTGGAATTTTCTCCAGGCATTCGATGGCGGTTGGGCCCTCAGCTCCGACCAGGTGACTTATGTTGGCCGAGTCCAGCAGAACATCTGTGTCGAGGAGCACCGCTGCCACTTCCAAGTATTTTTCTCCAAGTGCCAAAGTCAACGGGGTCATGCCCTTAAGATCAGTCATGCCAGGCTCGGGGGTATAATCTCCCACTCGCAGATTCACATCAGCTTTCGCCTCGATGAGTTGCTTTGCCATCTCTGGATTATTCCTCCATGCCGCTATGTGCAGGGGAGTCCTGCCGTATTCATCGAATCCGTCGAGATCGGCTCTTGCCGCGAGGAGAAGGGACACGCAATCTGCAGTACCTGCCATGGCTGCCATATGCAAAGGCGTGCCTTTTCTTCCGTATATTCCTTCGTGGACGTCTGCTCTGGCTTGAAGCAGCAGCGCTGCAGCTGTTGTTTTGCTGCGTGCAGCCACCACCAAGAGCGCTGTACAAAACACACCTTTTTCGGCGCGATATGCCGCATCCATTCTCACAAATTCAAATTCTTCGGCATCGCCGTCGGAGCCGAGGGCATTGGCCTTTTCGATCAGGTCCAACTGCCTCTTTTGAAACTCCTCAGCGAACGCGAACACAGTTGAGCCGAACACTGAACTTACAACTGAGAGGATCATTGGTTTTGAAACAAGATGGAAGCCACGAACCCGAATGTATTCACGTTCTTGGACTACGAGTGCAAACCTCTGCAATAGGAAAACAAACTTATTTTGGCATGCATCGTGCGCTCATATCGTCTCAGCAAACGCACCTGAGCAACAGTTCACAAAGAGACAACTAACCAGCACAACAACATCACCAGCACAACGAGATCACCACCACCAGCCACACTCCACGCTTTACCCACTGCACACTCCACACTTTACACTCCACACTCTACACTTTACACTCTACATTTTACACTCTACACTCCACACTCGACACTTTCCATTCCAATCTCCACACTCTACACTTTACACTCCACACTGTACACTTTGCACTTTACACCCCTCATTTCACACTTGACACTCCTCACTCCACACTCAACACTTTACACTCTACACTTGACACTCTACACTCCACACTACACCTTACACTCCACACTACACTTTACACTCCACACTTTCCACTTTACACTCCCCACTCCACACTTTACACTCCGCACTTTACACTGCAGACTCCACACTCTACCCACTGCACACAGCACACTCCACACTCCACACTCTACACTGTACACTCTACACTTTACACTCTACACTCGGCACTCCACACTCTACACTTTACACGCTCTACACTCCACACTCCACACTTCACACTCCACACTCCACACTTTACACTTTGCACTTGACACTCCTCACTTTACACTCCACACTCCATACTTTACACTCCACACTCGACACTTTACACTTTACACTCCACACTTTACACTTCACACTGCACACTTTACACTGCAGACTCCACACCGTACCCACTGCACACAGCACACTCCACACTCTACACTTTACACTACACTTTACACTCTACACTCGGCACTCCACACTCTACACTTTACACGCTCTACACTCCACACTCCACACTTTACACTGGGCACTCCTTACTCTACACAAAGTTTGCACAAACTACTTCCCAATACGACTGTGTACTACAAAGCTTGCACAAAGTCGCTCCCAGTACTACTGTGTACTACAAAGCTTGCAGAAAGCACTTCCCAGTACTACTTTGTACTACAAAGCTTGCACAAGCACTTCCCTGTACTACTTTGTACTACACAGCTTGCACAAAGCACTGACCAGTACTACTCTGTACTACAAAGCTTGCACAAAGTCGCTCCCAGTACTACTGTGTACTACAAAGCTTGCACAAAGTCGTTCCCAGTACTACTGTGTACTACAAAGCTTGCACAAAGTCGCTCCCGGTACTACTGTGTACTACAAAGCTTGCACAAAGTCGTTCCCAGTACTACTGTGTACTACAAAGCTTGCACAAACTACTTCCGAGTACTACTGTGTACTACAAAGCTCGCACAAAGCACTTCCCAGTACTACTTTGTACTACAAAGCTTGCACAAAGCACTTCCCAGTACTACTGTGTACTACAAAGCTTGCACCAAGCACTTCCCCGTACTACTTTGTACTACAAAGCTTGCAGAAAACACTTCCCAGTACTACTTTGTATAACTAAGCTGGCACAAAGCACTTCCCAGTACTACTATGTACTACAAAGCTGACACAAAGCACTTCCCACACTTTACACATTACGCTTTCCACTCCTCACTCCACGCTCAACACTCAACACTTTACACTCCACACTCTACACTTTAAACTCTACACTTTACTCTACACTCCACACTTTACACTCCACACTCCACACTTTACAATCCACACTTTACACTTTCCACTCTACACTCCACACTCCACACTCGACACTTTCCACTCCACACTCCACACTCCACA